ATTTTACACTGTAACCTAGGACACTCATCCTTCAAGTAGTACATGACCCTACATAGCCCAAGGACGTACCAGTCAGTGAAAGAAAAAATACTCCATTATTGTGAACTCTCAACTGAGCTTGGCTGTGTATTGTTAGATAACTTCTATCACTGGTGTTTGCCAGGTATGCAGGGTGCATTGAGCATGCTCCCAGCCAAATGGTATGGGAGTATGTGTGTGAAGTATATGTACCCACACTCTCTAGTCAGTGCAGTTGCAACTGTTCAGGCAGGAGATACAACTTCCCTGGTGCATCTCTTCCTGCTATCTTACCCTGAGTGTGGCTGCGTATTACCTTGCTGTTGTGCTTGTGGTGGGAACCTTCAAAACCGCAAATGTTCCTTCTCGTGTTCTGCCTCATTCCTTCTCAGCTCTGCAAAGAAAGTAATTATTTCTCAATCTTTGGTGTAACACCTTTGTGCATTCATTTTAATGTATCATTAGGCTTTGACATATGCAGTATTTTAAACTCTGCTCCTGCAGTACCTCGAGTTGCTAACCTTGTATTTTTCATAGTCCTAAAAAAAAAAAAAAAAAGTGGCATTAATTTTTATCAGTGTTCCACTAAACAGTGTTGTTTTTTTTTTTTTCAGGGCATGGAAAATTGCTCTCCAGGATGCCAGAACAAACACAGTAAGTGTACTGCCTAGACTTCATACTGATAGAGAAGCAGCACGCCAGTGGTATGTGTGGTCCAGCAGCTTACTTCTGAAATTGTGTTCCATCCTTCTCTGCTAGAGAAAAACAGGGTCATGAACATGATAGTAAGGCTTGTCAGTGGGGAGTGGAATGACCCTCTGGATCACAAGTACATAGCATCCTTGCAGCCAAGTCTGGGCAAATACATGCTGGGTGGAAGTGAATGATTTCACGGAATGATTTCTCTGGGTGGAAGTGAATGTTTGAGAAGCTGGTCTGTAAGGAAAGTGGGCAATGAGGCTGTGGGCAAAAAGTAAATCTTCTGCAGCCAGCAAAAATGCACTTTCCACTCCTAGTGTTTGTTGCCTACCAGGTGCAGTGATACAGGAAGCTTACTGCAAAGCAGCTGTTTATTAATGTAGATCCATTACACTGTGGGATCCATCTTGGCGGAGATTAGGGCAGGAGCAAGAGGTGCTTGGAGGGGAGTGCAGGCATGCCAAGAAAAGAGTATATTACTTCTGCATCAGCATGCTAGCTGTGGTGAGTGAAGAGGTCAGGAATCGTAAAAACCTCTCTGTGAGCCTTGGGAGTTCTCTAGAGAACTGTGTCTTTGGAGGAGCACATCCATCCACTTGGGGGTATTGTTAATTTGGTTTTCCTCCAGACTGCCTTCCAGAGTACTCGTCAGCACTAGCTTTCCTTAGATGGCTAGACTTCAACCAACTTGAAATGTTTCTGTTTCATGTGGAAATGCTGGGTTTTGTAGAAGCTTATTTCAGTTTTTGATGGGTCACACTAACATTGCCACTGTACTGAGGCATCTGTCATGTGATATGACTTAGATCTCTAGATACCAAAAGCAAACACTTGTCATAGGAAAACTACCCTGGACACGATTGCGTCTGACTGCAGCCATGCTATGCTGCTTCATGGTGTTAAATGAAAAGTGAAGGAATTGTCCTCATACAGAGGACACCACACTCACTGTCTACTTTAGTTTTAGGGGCTTTATCTTGCTTATCTGCTAGACAGTGACTCCTGGTTTCAGGAGTTACGAGTTGCTGCATTTCATGTCTCTGACACTCAGCTGCCAGCCCTGCTAGATGGCATTCAGAACTTGCCAGTGCTTCACCTTTGGTCAGCCAAGGCAGACCCCTGCTACAGAAAGTAGGGCAGGTAGCTCTCTGCACAAGTAGTATCATAAATTAGCACTTTCCAAAGCTATTAAAGGTCTCCAACAAGGACTTGAACTAACTGGGTAACTGGCTTTGAGTCCATCTGTAGGTGTCTGACACAGCTTTCAAAAATACCAAACATCCAGCAGTACCTTTTATCTTTACTGGAATGGCAGGGTGATCACCCTTGCTTTGAGAACTATGTAATTTACAGATGTTTGAAGGCTTATGCTTGCAGTATCATAAACCTGTACAGTTTCCTGTAGCAGAACAGAATACATTTACTGCTAAGATGTGAGCATTTGCTGGACTTTTCCTTAGGTGGTGGAAATACCTGCCTCTTCATATAGTGCTTTCAACAGTGTATTTCAAGCAATCCTTAGAATCTCCACCACAAGTTTGACCTGGGATATGGCCATAGTTGCCCTCAAAAGTCTTTCTACAGTCCAGGTAAAAGAGACAATAGGAACATTCTCTATTGAACTATTAATGCATTCGCTTGTAAATTAGAAAAAGGGAACTGGTTTTTTTCTTGAGATAGGGCAGTGACTAAGAGCATCATTGTAGATTTCAGATATTAGGGGCAAGAATACAAGGCTACTATAACAAATCTTAATTATCTTTGAGAGCTCCCTGTAGATGGATTCAAGTAAGTTAGCACCTTTGCCTCATGGCTGCCTTCGGAAAGGATCAGAATTATCAGTGGCACTTGCACAGTAATTCACTAAAAACAACCAAGCTTCCCAAGTCCCTACAGTTAAACCTCTCTTACTCCATTTTTTTTTTTTAAGGTCTCCTCACAGCCAGAAAGTGAGGGGTGGCTAAGAACTGTGACAGTGTTCTGCTGAAATGTTCAGGTGCCGCTTTTGGCTACTGCATTTGTTTCCTTTATCTGCTCTTGCTGAACTTGGTGATACCACTCTAGGGTGCCAGGAAGCAGCTAGCTTAGTTGTGAAGACTTTTTTTATCTGAAAACGGAGGATGAACAAGAGGGTAATTTCTGAAACTGAGGCTATGAAGTGATGGAAGGAGTCAGTGTGCTTGCATGTACACGTGTGTGTGTGTGTGCACGCGCATGTGCACACAGAGATAAGAAATTTTATGGCTCCATCCTGTGGCTGATCAGGCATTTGTATTCTCACAGGTCTACTCTCCAAGTAGGTTCTTTGTGCAGTACTTTATAAGGTACTCACTGCTTTTTTAACATGCAGGATGTCTAAAGGTTACTCTTTCTTTGGGGTCATTAAGTTTTAAACCTTGCACTACTTTAACTGGCTGTCTGTTGGAAAAGGTGGTTAACTGCTACCTTTCCATGGTGTTTAGGGCTACGTGGGATCTGATGTGATGTATGATGAGACAGCCATTTCTTCAGCCCCTCCTCCCTATACAGCTTATGCCACACCATCACCTGAGGTAAGAGTTGCAGTCGGGAAGCATTAAAATAAGTGAGGTAGCAGAAGCGGACGTCCTTCATGCACTCAAACTTACTCCCAAAGTGCTGTGTTTCACAGTTAGATCCAGCTTTAAGGTTTGTACAAAAGGAGAATGACAGTAAGGCACTAACAGTCTATTGTCATTCCTATTTGAGATGGATTTCCTTTGAAAGGCTCGAGGCAGATTTGGTTGGAAGGTATATAAAGGGATGTCTGCTCAGTCAACTTGGGTAATACGGTTTCTTAGAGACAGGGCAGAATTTATTTGGCTAATCTTGAAAAATATTTGCCATGCAGCTTTTAATAGAAGGAGGTGTAACTACACTTTCACATTGCGTAAGCGCTGGAAGGATATAAAATCAGGGTTTTTAAAAATAGGATTTAATGACTGGAGCTGTCACTTTTCACACATAAGGATTTTGTTGTATCTGAGATGTCATAGCAACACAATAACTCTAGCTCCTGGATGCACAGTTCTTCTGCAGTGGAGAAGGAGCAGCATTGAGGCTGAACCAGTACACTTTGGGCGTTTCTGGATGTTCTGACTGACATGCAGTGATACACAAAGGGATAGTTTGGGGTAGTATTACTTGTTGCACTGTACGTGCTCTGCTTTAGCCTCTTGCTGTTAGAAATAGTTGTTAAGAACTAGATGTGGCACTGGGAGCTGTATCAGGGCTAGCAGGGGGCCTCCCCATTTGGAGAACAAAATTGCTTCCAAAACGTGCGGCTATGCAGTATTTGTCCTGAATCTGACCTTTACTTGCAGTCTGCAGAGGAAAGTTGGTTGTGGTTTCATGGGATCAGATGCTGCCTACCTGTCACTTAAGAGTTCCCCAGAGAGCTGTTGTTGGCATGAGGGCAGAGAGGAGAAACTGATAATAAGGCTGCTGTGCCTTTGCCTGATGATCCAGGCCCAGCCTCTGCCATTCACCATCCAGGAAGGGTGGAGAGTGAATGCTGCTTAGGAGCACTTATTTTTTTCAGGCAGCTGTTCTGAATCCTTTCCAGGGAGTAGTTAGACTGTATCAGTACAGACTGGATATTTTAGTGAATCTTTGACTGCATTACAAATGAGGAAGAATTGAACAAAGTGCATAATTGGAAACATAGCAAAGAATACTTTTGTAATGGACACTTTTAATTTCACCAGGTTTATGGCTATGGCTACAATCAATACAATGGTGCATATCCGCCTGCTGGTCCTCAAGTCTTCTATGCCTCCAATGGACAAGCTTATGCTGTTCCCTATCAGTATCCATACCAAGGTAATCAGTATCGACCGTATCCTTCACCTTCCTGTAGAAGCTATTTGAGTCAGTCTTTCTGGCCTTAGTTCCATTTATCACCATTGTTTACCACCCACCACTCCTGCACAACAGAGTGATAGAAAGAAACCTGACTTGTAACTGGAACCGAGTCCCCTTACCCTTTCATAACAAAGAAGTACAGTGAAATTTGTATTAAGTGATTTAACCTTCCCAGTGTGATCCCAACATACTTAAACTACTCTTTTTGAAGCGCACAGAACTCTCTTAACTACAGTAGGCAGCATGTTTTCTAAGGAAAGATAGATTGATTCAGTACTCCATATTGGGCATTGATGGAGCTTTTGATTCATCTGTTACTCTTATACCTACCTTAATTATTTCAATACTGATGTTCACCTGTGACCTAAGAATTAAGTGTCAAATGTAAATCCACTCCCAAAGCATGGTTGTAACTGGTTCCTTCCCTGCATGTTGGAATTTGCTGTAAGGGAATACATTCGGCGTTGTGAAGTCTTCTGTTGCTCTGTTCAGATTTGTATAGCTTTCAATCCCAATAAAAAAGGAAAGAGTAAAATTTTAAGGTGTGCTTTTAAATAGTCGCCTTAATTTAGGATTAACTTGGCATAGAGCGCCTCAATCCTACAGAATTGGGGCTTTACAGTAGTATAGGTAATATAACTCAAAAGATTTAACTTACTAATTATTTATGATTCGGCTCTGCAAACAAGAATCTCTATTCAGAATTTTTTTCAGTTTTGAGGGGGATTTTTTTTTTCCATTTGACGTTTTTGAGGTTATTTCATTTGCCTTTTCCATTTTTTGTTACAAGGGAGGTGCATCAGCCTAAAGCTCTTAAAGCTTTCCTCATCTAAGTGAAGTCCTAAGATACATATCATGTATGTGCAACACAGTGGGTTCTGTTGGTTCTCAGCAGCTGAAAAGAAGCAGCTTGTTGAAAGTCCCAAGAAGCATTTTTAGAAACTACCAGTAGGCCTTGGAAATCAAGCTTGAGAAACCTGTATGATAAAAACCAGTAAGTCTCCTAAACAGTTTGCAAGTCCAGTGTGTTAAGATAGTAGTTATAGGTTGGGCATAGTAACCAAGCCTCGATGTTTTCCTTCACTAGGGTTACTGCAACTAACTTAACCCCTATACTTTTGGCTTCATTGCTCACTCTCTGAATTGAGATAATCCTTCTCATGAGGTTCCCAGTCATGCATCATTGAGAGTCAGTGAGAGCCTTTTCCAGTTGTATTCATTGGATTACCTTCAGTATCTTGCAAAAAAACACTGCAGTATCTTCAAGAAAATTTACTCTTCCTGAAATGTCTGGAAGGGAAAGCAGTACTATTATGTTTGCTTTGCAGGTAGGAGCTAAGTCACAAAACATGACAGGTAGAGCTTGTACAAGTCTTTTGCAGAGCAAGGGTCAATCGGTGTTTTTTTGAGTCTTAGATTAACTCCTTACCACTGGGCCAATCTTTATCTGAAAAGAAATGTAGCAACTGTCACCACACAACAGATCAGTACAGGATGAGAAGGCTGAATTGAAGTAGTAAATACAATTTGATACGCACTTTCTGACAACCCACTGGCTTAATGCTGCCGAAGATTGGGGAGGGGGGGACTACACTATTTGCCTTAACTTCAAGTTTGAATCAATTTTTAGACCCATTTTTTGCATTAAATCCACTAAGTGATAGAATGTTACAAGTAATTCATAGGTTCTTTGCTAATATAAATGCAGAACAATGTTCAGCGTTGCATTTGTGGTGAGCTTTTCTCCCAGATATTAAACTTTCACAAGGCTAGAAGTGTTGCTAGGCTTCTGGATTTATTTAATAAATGTGGAGGCTGAATCCAAAGCAGAGATGTGTTCTGCCTTTGTAGCTGACATCATCTTAGTGGTCAACAGAAGGAAAAGGGTGAAAGAATGGGCATGTTTTGAAATCACAACACATGATATTAAGATACATATTTCTTTTGCCCTCCTCCTAACTATCTTTTATTACCTAGGACCTTATGGCCAACACCCTGCAAACCATGTCATCATTCGAGAGCGTTACCGTGACAGTGATGGAGATCTTGCACTGGGCATGCTTGCTGGAGCAGCAACTGGAATGGCTCTGGGGTCATTATTCTGGGTCTTCTAGATTATCAGTTCCTTATCTTTGTAGTTCCAAAAACCTTTATTGTGTGCAATAATATATTTGCAATGTTGTTTACTGTTAAAACTAAGAAATGCAGTAGTTATTTTTTGGTAGTGACATATTGATAACTGATTCTTAACTGTCTTAAGGAGAGTTTAAAGGCACCATTTAGTTAAGTGGTTGGAGATGGCATGTGCTGCTCTTGAATTCTGTTCTCATGTCTGGAGTTCTAAGGATTTGTACTGATAAGGATCAATATGAGCACCAATGTAACACAGTAGCAGTCACTAGCTTTATGAACAGACTATTATTGTAAACACTGTAGAAAAAAATGGATTTTTTGGGATGTCTAAAACCTGGTCCAAATAGGTTTACAGGAGCCCTGCATTAGTGTCTATGTACTACTGGCTTGTAAACATTCCCTGGACAAACATACAGCACAGCAGAAATTCTTTGGCATTAGGTAGCCTGCCATGCTTGAGAAATTTTTTGTTTTCAAGCTTGATTGCAGATGGTAGTGTATTTTCTTAGATGGAGTCCTTTACCTGTCTGTCACACCATCCAGGTGAAGTTGTCTTTAAGAACATATAAGCAAACCTCCAAGAAGCAGCAGCACCCCTCAGCTCTTTTATTTTCCCAGAAATGTGAATGACCAGTGGCAAGGAAGACCAGTGTTTGTTGTTCCACCTCCCTCTTTATCCTGAATCACTCTTCTCTGGTCAGATGGAAGTAATGGAGCTTTAGCTTTGCAAGTGATCTTCCTTGTCTGTAGAACAGTCGCCTCAGACACTGTACCAACTCCATTGCTGAGGAAGAGCCCATTTTCTAGTGTCTCTGCTCATTACTGCCCTCTCTCTGTAGAGTCTGCCCTCTTGGGCCTACCAGAACCCCTCTGCAGGCAGTAATAGTCAAGAGAGGAGAGACAAACAGCACAAGTAGACCTTGCACACAGGCACTTTGATATCAGCTGCCTTACCATGGCTAGGATAGAACGTCTGCCTCAGCCTTCAAGGTTTCCTGAACCAGGTTCATTATTTGCAACTAGTTTCGAGCACAGTTGAGCCTGGGTTTGTTCTATGCACACTTCCTCCTCACATTCAGCAGGTCTTCTCTTGCCTCTATGACTTGTTAAGGTAAACACTCCAAGGAACCTGGCTAGCTTTGCTTATATGTCTGGTTTCTCACACAATGTGCTCCTGCAGGCTGCTGTGCTATGGACTGTAACCCGGAGTGCAACTGTTAGGTGTGTTATGTGGCCTGTTACCTTATCCTGTTATAATCCATGCTGAGCCGTGATTGGTAGGGGAAAGAAAGCTCTGAAGAAATGCACGTGCTTTCTTATTCAGGTAAAAGAGGCAGGGTGCCTAAGTTGAGTTCTTTATAGTGAGAGGACTTATTTTTATACTTCTACTTTCAGCTTCCTGTATTCCTACTGTTTTAATACGTTAAGTCTTTAATACAAGCTGCATATGTTCTGCCAGTGATATGTACTGAAATGACTCATTGGAGGTTTGAAAGAGGACTAAAGCAAAAGATTTCTATTGCTAGTCCAAACCAAAGAAATTGGAGTACACTACTGAAATTCGTAGAGGCCTGGTACCCTTGAGGGCAGAAAGAGATGGCAACTCTCTAGAACTTAAGTGAACAAACATTCCTACCCTTTTTAAGCCTTGAGATAACCTTGAAGGTGATTGTAAGGTCTACATTGCTGTTCAGTTTGTGCTTTGCAATATATCTAGTTCTGCAGAATGCTTCCATCTCCTCTTCTCCCTGTGTGGTAATTAGCTTGTAAGGAGTCGGGGAGAATATCATTGTAATTTCTTTTGAATTTCATAATGATTGTGAAAGAATAGCACAAAGTGAATCAGCTAGTAATTTATTTTAAGTTCAGAGTTTTATTGTGTGGTGGTTTTGTTTTGCAAGAGCTTTTGTTCATAGCAGGGGAACATCACTTGTGCTTTCAGGAGATAACTGTATCTAGGACCCCAGATTCTTCAAGTGAAATATGTAAGATAAAGATTCTGTTGATTGCAAAATATTCCTGGGTTCAATACAAAGTAAGAAATGATCTTTTTAAAAGTTCAAATTGAAGTAAGTCTCCATTAAAACAATAACTTTACCACTTCTCAAGGTCGAGGGGGGGATTACAAATTGAAGCTGAAGATTCTAGTTCTGTCTTGGTAACAATAGGCTGCTTTTAAACAAAAAATCATGAGCTACTTTTCTATCCTAGTAGCATAGGCATTTAGAAGCTAGAAAGCAAACGTACAAAACTATGCTAGAGCATAAAGTCAGGAGAGCAGTTATCTTATTGCAGGTGCTTGTAGGCTTCCTGGTCTCATTGCAGAAACAGAAATGGAAACGTCTTGGTGCACAAGACGGCAACATGGGGACAGCCACTTGAGTTCACTGGTTGTTAAAGCTTATAGACTTGCTTCCTGAAGACACGGCTGTACCTCCTGTTGCTTAGGAACAGAGTGAAGGTTTGGTCATATCTATAACCATGTCCAGCTGGAAACAGTCACGACTCAATAGGCTTTCCCTGCCCAGTCCAGTACTTAATGTATCTGCAGATTGTGTAGGTGCTGGTGTGAGCTGAAGGAGCAGGGCCAGAGTGGGTTTGGGGGCTTGGAGGGACTGCCATGCCAGCTTCTGCAGATGAGCAAGACCATAGTGATGGGAAGAGGCAGTGGGTGTGGCAAGATCATTTTCAAAACAGATTGAAATTATAGTTGTAAACAGATATTTGTTTCTGGATGGAGCTATGCATGATGCTGTGATTCCAGTTCTACCTGCATAGCACCCAAGCGCATGCTTTCCTACCTGGGGCCCAATACTTGACCTCCCTAAAGCTATGGGAGGTCCACAGCCACTACAGTGCCACTGCTTTTTGCAGTGTATGCCATCAGTTAAGGATGACTAAATCTGTTGTATAGCAGTTACAGTCTGTTCAGAATTAAATGTCGGTGCCTACAGAGGTTATGAGTCTATATGCTTATCTATGACTAGTTACTTTTGGATTCTCAGTTATGGACAGCTGAACAGAGCTAGGCTCCCAGACAGCAAGGTGGAAATGCTCAGCCTTCTGCTAAGGCCGACCACATTAAAGAGGTGAACCAGGGCCCCCTCCCAAATTCTTAGTTATATGTGAAAACATAGCTATTGGCTTTTTTTACTTTAACATGGGGGTCTGGGGAGCCAGCCTCTTTTAGTGAGTGGGTAGAGACTCATGAACTAGAGAGGAGGGGTGGGAAGTGTTTAAGTACAGAGCAACTGCACTGACTTTTGGCACAGACACGTCTTTTCTAGTGCTGAAGCACATTCTGAGCTGCGTCTAGATGGAGCTACCCTAAATGTCACATAACACCAGCTTCATTTTGCTTGTTCTTCAGTGGAGATTCAATAGGTGATGGAACCAGCTAAGCAAGTTGAGTAGAATAGAAAACTCACACTCATGTTCCTCAGATGTGTTTGTGGCTTTTCCTCCTCATGATGACCAAGATAGATATGGTAGCATGCAGCAAATATTTTCCCCCCCTCCCAAATCCTTCATGTTCTTGTGCACTTTCTATCTTAACTGCTGCTTTTACTGTATGTCCTCATTGTCATTATTGATTTATAGCAAAATAACTTTAGCAATAAAATTCATATTTAAGTGTAATTGTTCTGACATGTTTACTAGCCTTTGTTCAACATTTCTCCTTTAGTTAGTCTGTAGACAGGTATATGTTTTCCAAACATGTAGTCAGCTTACAGGAGGTTTCCTTTGCAAGGAAACAGCGCCATGATGAATTCTGTGCACCTCTAGTCTTTCCTAAGCAATTAAAAGGGCAGCTTTACTTGGTAGAAAAATGAACTAAGACAACTGTGGCTGTTGGTGTTAGAGCTCAGGCTGACTATATACCTCAGTCATCTCGGTTGTCATTTAATGAAGATGATGCAATGTCTGTGAAATCAGCAAAGTAACTCCACACTAACACCACTATACCAAGATTAGAATTAAGACCTATTTCTTTTTTAACAGAGTTGAAGGCTTTGACTCAGAAATGCTTAATCTTGGATATATGCAATGCTGATCCAGATTTACCATTTGACATTGTGTTATCAAATCAACAGATTTGTACTGTTTAGCATTACAGTAAGCCGCTTGGAGCGAAGATGTTGCTCTGGGCAAAATGCTACTGGTTGCTGTATTGGTATTTCATGTTTATGAATTGCTTCAGTGGAGTTGGGTACAATCAGTGAGTTTACTTAGACAAAGACACTAAATGACCACAATTAGCTCCACCACCTAAAGGCAGACTATCTTGTATGTTTGCTGGGAATTAAACTATTCGTCAGAAGGACCACAGTACATTCTGTTAACCATTATCCTTGCTTTACACGTTTTGTTTTTACTATTGAGAGGTAGTGTGGTTTTTTTTAGCTGCTAATCTGGGGGAGGAATGAAAACAAAATGCCATTTCAACCAATTGGTTAATGTAGGAGTACACGTCTCACTTCTCCCCAGCACACTATGTTGGCTGTGCTTATTTTATCAGTCATCAGTTCCATATGATGGATTTACTAGGCTAAACAGACTTATGTACACTTAACCCTGCCCACCAGAGAGCCCACCTTTACTGAAATTTCTGCACCAGAACAAGTTAAATTTGCTGTGCAAGGCTTAGTAGATCCATACCTTTCTGAACTGCCACACTCCTGAAATGGCAATAGTCTAGAGAATGAGCTTTGCCTCTGTTACAGCTTCCCCTTCTCCTACAGCGTTCTCTGTCCTGTTTGTGGTCACTAAATGCAACCACAGTAATTAGCTTGGGTTGTATTCCTAAAAGTGCCTTTACTTGTCCCTCTCTCCTGTTGCAATTCCACTACAATGCATTGAAGCAAGCATGGAGCACTTGCTGTTCCCTCCATTTCACTGGAGCTGAAAGTTTCCCCCTGCCCCGTATGTTGTGAGCACTTTAACTACAAATGAGAGCTTTTAACAACACACTGACCCTAATGTACTGGTTTGGGAGTCTTCTGATTACTACAGGTTCTCTCATTAGGTTTCAAGAGCTTTTGAGGCATCTTTAAAAGGCTCTAAGTCTCACAGGGCAAATAAAAACTCCAAATATATCTGCATTAATAATTTAAAGCTTAAGAACCATTTATGATGATTTTTAAGGTGCAAATTGTGAAAGTTTCAGACTGACAATACTGGACTTAATCTGACAGAGTATGGTGGATGCAACACTGATACTGCCTAATCTCCACATAGTTCAGGTACCGAAGTTAACTATGC